ATATATATATATATATATATATGAGGTGTAAGATTTATTTAGGGATCAAATCTATAAATTTTTATTCAATTAGGTATATGTTTAAAAATTTACACTAAATCTTATATTATTAACAATTTTTTATATAATATAAATTTAATCGATCTATTTATTAAATTATGTAATATTATACTGAACATTTTGTATATCAGATTTCATAAAATTTGAATTTTTCTAAATATATTATCCAAAAATAGAGAGTTGTACATATTTTAAATATTATATTATACATTAAAATAAAATAATATAATAAATTACTAAAAAAACAATTTAATCATGTAAAATTTGATATACGGGATCTTAAATATAAAATCATATAATTCTACAATTAAATTAGTTAAATTTTTATTTCACAATAAGTTATTGAAGATATAAAATTTAGTGTAAGTTTTTAAACTTTATATATAACTTAAATATGTTTTAATCTTTATAAAATAATTGAATTTTGATTTTATTTTTCGTAAAAAAAATTCTTTATCTTTTATCTCTTTAGAATTTGAAATCATTGTTTATTGTGAATTTCATTCACAAACTTAAATTTTATAAAAGATAATAAAATATTTTATTAAAAATATAAGACATAAGTAAAACTTAAATATATTCATAATTAAATTCTAAAATATAAATAACTATCGTAATTATTTTTATATTAAAACATAATACACACTATTTTTTTAAAATTGCAAAAATGTTAGGGTGTCAAGGCACCATAGGAGCTCTATTTCTACCGAACAACAAAGTTCATGCAATTCAAATTTACATTTAGAATACAAGTTCTATTCTTACTAACTGAATCAACCGTGTTAGCACTATTATTACATTTAATTCAACCTTTTACAATTGAGAACACACTAGTACAAAATGGGTAGTTTAATAATTACCATGTTAGTATCCTTTGGATCTTTATCGACCAACATTTTATTTACAACTCAAACCAACTTGAGATTGACTAAAAAATTCTAACTTATTTTAATGAATTCCTATAAAAATACAACATTGAGTAAATAATAATTGATTTTGTATATATTTAATATGAGACATCCATTGATGGTCAATGTATATATATTTATATACATCCATTGTTATACATTTAACAATATATAGAAGTGAACAAATTTTTTATTTATTTATATATTTTAATTTAAATAAATGAATAAGTTTATTCTTAAATAGACCAATATAATCAAATCATGTTCTAATTAATAAATATAACACACACATAATAAATAAATAAATATATATATATATATATATATATATATATATATAATTTATCCTAAATTACTCGTTTACATTACTAGAATATGCATCTAAAATAAATTTTCATCATGAAATACAATTTATAAAGCCTTTAGCCATTCATTACACAACAAAACTTATCGCTAAAAAAAATACCCAATAAACTTATAGGCTAAGCATATCTCTAGAAAGAAAAAAAAAAGGCTTATAGGTTGGCAAATCTATAACCACACATGCTAATAAAGTTCTACGTTAACTAGGGATGGCAACGGGGCGGGGCGGGTACGGGTTTCATGATACCCGTCTCCGTCCCCGCGACCGAAACTCATACCCGTCCCCGTCCCCATACCCGGTGGGTATGGAATTTTTATCCCATCCCCGTACTCGTACCTGTACCCGTTAAATTTTTTTTTTTACAATTTTTTTTCAACTTATCTTCACGCCAGTCACGGGCATCCACGGCACAAGCTCTGCACAGCACCTTGGTCGGTTCAACCTCACCAACAATGGAAACGCTGGTAACCTTGGTTTGCAAAAGAATTTCAGTTCCACAATCACACAAAAATTCATCAGGAACATGAGTTATATGCATGCTGCCAATATGAGTTATATGCATGCTGACAATTATATATATATATATATATATATATATATATATATATTTTAAACCAATTAAGCATACAATAAATATAAATAGAAACTGACACAAAAATCCCTCCTCTGGAGAAAAGATGCTTAAACTTATGATCCTCCTAACTCGATGCACCTAACTCATGACCCCAGCATGAAAAAACGAAAGGAAAATCAAGCCAAACAGAACCTACAAAGTTCCAAAAAATTATAAAACCAAACAAAAGGGGAAACACAATACCGTGAGCCTTCAATATACAGAGAATCTTGCTTCCGGTGACACTTCACCCCAACAATTCCATGAGAGTCTCGAAGAATCACACTGATTTGAGATGGAGTGGTGCGTGCGGGCTGGTGCGGCACTACGGGCTGTGGCTGCGGGGCTTGAGAGTCTCAACTCCTCACTTTTAACCCTAGCTAAAAGAAATAAGGGGCAACAGAGTCAAGATTCTTATGTCTTAACTTTATAAATGTTAACAAATTTTAAAATGAAATCGGGTACGGGTATGAAACTGCGGACGGGGATGGGGACGGGGACGGGGACGGGGCGGGTAAGTATATACCCGTACCCGTCCCCATCCCCGGTTTAATATTTCGGGTTTTACCCATACCCGTACCCGTACCCGGTCAAACCGGGTATTCCCCGTCAAAGTCGGGACGGGTTCGGGTATTACCCACGGGTACGGGTTTATTTGCCATCCCTACGTTAACCAACCTATCACATTATAAACAATTAAAACTAGAAAATATATTATATTTTATAGCTATTAATTAAAATCAACTCAAGTTAATTGTTAAAACAATGACATAACATTATATATTAAATATTATTTATAAACATGTCCCCACATCAAATCTGGTATTTTTTATTTATTTATAATTAATGTTTACAACTTGACCTACTTAACCATAATAAATTTTAAAAAGCTTGAATTTCACCTTTTTAGTTTTTACCAAACAAGTTAGGCCAAACCTTAAATAAAATAGGTTATAAGTCAGTGTGGTAACTTCACCTATTTCTACTCGTAGACGAAATAGGTGAATTTTCATTTGAAAAAAAATCTTATTATTTAAAATTTATGTAAAATAAGAGGAATAAAATGAGAAATTATAATATGATATTTTGATAATTATTTATTGAATTATATGAGTATCATATATTGGTTTTCCTTAATTTTGAAATAAATTAGTTTAAATTCATTTGATTATTGTTGTTGCACAAACTTTAGTTTTAAGTCCTTACACTTAAAAAAAATTGTTTTAGTTTTTATACAAAACAGTTTTAGTTAGTCTTTGTTGATAAAAAAAAAAAAAAAGAGTTAATGTTGTTAATGGTGGATTATATAACGCTAACAAGGTGTTGACATGTTATTTACTTGTGTTATATTTTACATTTTAATCCTTATATATACATTATTACATTTTGGTCCTTATGTTTGGACAAGTTTTACATTTTAGTTTTATACCTCTTCCATTTATTTTTCTATCTCCTTCTCCTTCTCCTTTTCCCCTTTTTCTTTTCTTTTTTCTTACCAACACCTTTTTTCTCATTTTCTCGATGTTTCAATGACTTCACTTCACAACACTTTACATGGTGACAATTCACATAATTCTTTGTTGGTTATAACTCTCTATTAAGTAGTCTTTTCTAAGATGTATAAATGTCTTTAGGATCATCGATTATGCCGACAAACCAACACAAGATTTCTTAGTGTACTTTGTCATCATTCACATGTTTTTCACTACAAGAAAATTGCGAATTAGAGAGGGAAAGATCTTTCTCAAATCCCTCGCTAAACAAAATGGCGAGGGACTAGCGAAGGATTTGTGAAGGACTATTCTCTCGCTAAATTCAAGTCGCTAATTGGCGAAGGATGCATATCCCTCGCAATTCCTTCGCTACATTCCTTCGCTTTTCCCTCGCAACCAGTTTCGTTAGTCCGTCGCAAATTTGTGCCGCTAATTCATCGCTATCGCCTCGCAAATGTAGAACCCAAATTCCCTCGCTAATTGCATTTAATATTTCCTCGCTAACATGTCGCAAAACCTTCGCAAGATATCCTTCGCTACTTTATCGCTACTCCATTGCAAAATATTGTTTAATTATTCCCTCGCTAATCCTTTGCTACTCCCTCGCAATTATCCCTCGCGATATTGTCGTTAATTCCTCGCAACTCTATCACAATATATCAATTGAGGTTCTTCGCAAATCCCTTGCTAATTCCTCGCAAATATATCCTTCGCAAATCCCTCGCTAACCCCTCGCAAATGTGTCCTTTGCAAATCCCTCGCTAATCCCACGCAAATCCATCAAAGCTTATGGATGAGTTCCCTGGCGAATACCACGCTAATCCCTTGCGAAAGCTTCACAACATATCTTTTGAGTTTCCTCGCGAATCCCTCGCTAATATCTCGCGAAACCTTCCCAATTTATCTTATTATATATATACATTATTCTCTCATGAATCCCTGTAGATATGTCACTTAATTTGATATTTTAAATAAATCTAAATTAACTACATAATTTTTTTTCAATTAGACATGATTTAAAATAAAAGTTGCATGTAACAATATCTCTTACAAAACCAAATTGTTAAATGTCTTACAAAATCCAAATTGTGCATAATATATTAAAGAAAACCCAACTAATAAATTTCTTACAAAAAGAAAAGTCAAATAACGAGTCATCTTAAATAGTAATCAACCTAAGCTAGTAAAATCATCATCTCGTCCTTGATCCTCCATATGTTGATTGGTTGATGGTGTTGTTGATGGTTGAACTGCCTGAATTATTTGCCTCATCATCTCTGGTAATTGAGTTTGCAAAAAATAGGCCAATGCATTATTTATAACTGTAGTGACCCGTTCTTCTGTCATAGGCGTAAGATTTGTAAAGGAACATGCAACCTCTGGAGATGAAGCTTGTGTAGAGCTACCAGTTCCAAGATCCAAGCTATGTCCCATACCATGAACTCTTTTCTTCTTGTTTTCACCTGCAGCTTTTAACCAAAGATCAGAATCAATTACAGGATGAGATGAAGTGTCTTCTCCATATTTTTGTGTCATTGATTCTTCATATGTTTCCTACAAATAATAAACAAAAAAATAAGTGAAATAACAAGAGGTTAAAAAAGTACGTAATCAATCTTAAAATAAGAAATAACATACAATAAATTTCTTTGCCCTAGTTGAGACAAATTCACCGTCATTTTTTTTGTGAACTTTGTTATACACTTCACGATAAGAAACATGACGATTCTGTTGTGCCTCCTGTAAAAAGATTACAGTACAAATTGTAAGTAATGAAATTTACCAAAGAAACTCATTAATTTTTTTTAAAGACATCATTAATAACACAATTTTAATTGTAACAAACTCCAAATATTAGCTAAATTAATAAATCTAAAAACAAGTAACTTTTACCATGGATTATCTAAGTAAAACAATTATATTAGAATAGAAATAAAGCAAACATCACTCATTAATTATTGACAAAATTCAATATGATTTGATTACCATAGTTTTTTTGTGTTGCCCGAAACTTCTTGACCCTCCTATGTGCACCATTGCTTTAGGCTGGACAGCCTTGTTTTGTCTTCCAATGACTTCACTTCACAACACTTTACATGGTGACAATTCACATAATTCTTTGTTGGTTATAACTCTCTATAAGTAGTCCTTTCTAAGATGTATAAATGTCTTTAGGATCATCGATTATGCCGACAAACCAACACAAGATTTCTTAGTGTACTTTGTCCTCATTCACACGTTTTTTTTGTTGGGAAAACTTCATAGAAGGTCGTTCATCCCTAAATTGCTCTAGGTCAAACAGTTTAACTACAAAATTCTTAAGTGATAAACTATTGAAAAGTAAATGCATCTTGTTAGTATAGACTGTATAAATTGATTCATTTAAGTCATCCTCAACATGCATAGTTTCATAATGTACAAATCTCTGAATCTTTCTCATTTCAATATTTTGGACTGTTACAATATGTGCTCTTTAAATATGACAAGATATCAAGTGAGTAGCAATTTGTATGGGCATTCCTTATTGTGGTGAGGACTTTTTGTGTCATATCAATCTACTTACATAGAACACTTGGAAACATGAAAGTTGTCATTTAAATCATTTTCTAGATCACATAATGCTTTTGACATGCATTGTCGTCATATCTAACTGTGATGCATAAAAAAAGTACTTTTTTTTTTTTTTTGATATTTTAATACTAGTTAGAAATTTTTTGGTAGTTTTACATCATCAATTTCAATTTTGTGACAGTGCTAAAAAATATAGACTTAAAAAAGTTACATGACAACTAAAAATAAAGATTAAATCATAAAATAATTAATCATGAAGTAGTGACACAAATACCCAAACATTCAATGCACTAAGGTTAAAATGCAACAATGGTTAATTTAAGGCATCATATTACCAAACATTTCATTTAGTAAGATTAAAATGATCCAACAAGTTCTCACCATTGCGTGGAGAGTCAACATAAAACATTACTTTAAGGTTGCCTCATTTCATCGTAATAGTGTAATACCTTGGTTGGACATTATTGTTGTACATACATATATGCATACCTTTTTGAAAATGTGTAGTTTTTTTTTAAAAGTTTCATGTTAATTTTATTGAAAGAAAAAAAAAATAACAACTCAATAGGACAAACAAGCACATTTTGAAACCACAGAAGAAAGATACAAACTAACCTCCACGTAAGAATTTTAAATCCAAAAGACGATGACAACAACAACAATAATAATAAATAGACATCCTAAACTGATAAGAATTAAATAAATGCTCCTCTTGTAATGGCTAAATTTTTATTTTATGTAACATTTTAAATTTAACTATTAAGACTTTTGTTTTAGTGAATGACCTAATATACACAACATTTAACATCTAAATACATGTCATAAATAAACTTCAATTGTTATTGTTAATAATATGGATTCCTAGCAATAACTTTAATAAACACCATAAAGCCTCTTTAAATATCTTGTATTTTTTGTCCTAGTGGTCATATTTATGATCAAAATTGCAAGAGTGTTTCCCTTGTGTCGTTTTATAGAATCGTTGCTTACAAGAGATTGGTACCACCCTTTGACAATTGAGAGGCAAATATTCTCCCCTTGTCAAAGGAAATGTTATATTATAACTTCTCTTAATTTAAATATTTAATTTATTGTCATCCTTTAGGGACCAAGGAGGTTATTACCATTACCTAGCCAAAAAACTCCTTTTACTTTCATGCATAATCATTATTTTGCATATTTTATATTCATATATAATGTTAATGCCTTTATCTTAAACTCTCAAACATATAAAATCACGAAATCAACATATAAATCCTATTTCTAAACCCTAATACTACATATTCATAATACCATATTAAAATCCCAATATAGCAAGATCAACATTTACTCAACATTATAATTATAAAAATATAATTACACATTCAATCATGCATTTAGGTTAAAGTAAATTCATACATTGAGTGTACATACCGATATATCAACAGTTACCTAAAGGCGAAAAACATACAAAAAGATTGAACTCATCTAGAAAAGCAAGTCCCAAGGATCCCAACAATGTGAAATTTCATTTTTCCTTTCTTCCTTCTTCTTCCTTCTAACACTGTTTGTTTATGTCAAGTGAGAATGTGCGGCTAGCATGTGTGAAGTAAGGTTTATAAATGTTAACCTTTATTGAGTTATAAAGGCTTAATTCTCTTTGAAAATTTATATATCTAAACTAATCCCAAATAATTTTTGAGCCCTTTTTATTTTCAAAATCTTATTATTATTATTATTATTATTATTGAAAGTCCCAATCTAGTGAAATGTTACAAGTAGGAATGCTAAAAAAAATGTACATCGACAGATATCTACATATGAAATTCACAATGGGTAAAAACTTGTAGCTTTAATGGGTACCTACAATTAATGGGTTTATGTATTTCAATAGTGGGTAGAAAAAAATACATGTACCCATTATCTAAGAGTTCCCATTTGAGCTACATTTTTTTTATCCATTGTAAATTTTATCTATAGATACCCGTTGGTATATATTTTTTTTTACCATCCCTACATTTTTTTTTACGAATAAAATAGGTTAGGCCAACTTGATCCAACCTGACCTTCATAAGTCAAATGCTATTTTAGATTAGATCGGCTAGACTTATATTTTTTTTGCGCCATTTTTTGGCCCTTATCAAGCCATCAGGTCGTTGAGCCAAATTGGCTTAACAAAAAAATATATTTAAAAAATTAAATTTATTTTTTACAATAAAAAAAACTATAACATGATTAATTGATATTATATATTGTCATGAAGCACCTAATAACTTTATATGCATACAATTTCTCATCACAACCATTGCATTTGCATTTATCAGTCCCATCATCTATACCAACCTTTTTTTATAAGAATGTCATACATAAGAGGTATTAGGCTTAGTTTTCTTAGTCTTTTTAGTATATTGGTTCTCGCCATTAATACACATACTTTTACTTTTATTGTGACTCTGTGAGCACAGATACGAGCATGATTGCATCTTCATCTTATTCAACAAACATAATAGAGGTGATAAGTTACGAAGTCAAGTCATCAAGCGCACAATGAGAGTAACGAAACTCTCATAATAACTAACCCTAATTCTAATCTTGTAATCACAACTTTGTAAGCAAATACAAAAAAGTAAAAGACTATTAATATTATTATACTTTATTTTATTATATTAATTTATAATACATTACAAATTTATAAATTGACAATAGTTTATATTACCCATTTGACTTTTCAGACTTAGCGAACTAGGCCAAAATGACTTGATTTTATTTAAGTCATTATTTTTAAGGTCTAGTCTAACTTTATTTGCGAGCCGAACGAATTAGACCCAAATTGACAAGTCTAATTTTCAGGATAAGGTGGACATCATGGCAATGACACCTACGAGTACTTGTAACCATAGTAAGGTACTCTCAATTTTTACATAGTTTTTTTTTGGACAAACAAGACTTATGAGATTAAATTATTTTAATTTATTGAATTTTGTTTGGAATTATGAGATTTTAGCATTTTATCATTTAAATTGTCATATTTTGATTAGTATATTATATAAAATATTTGAATAATTTAAATTTATGATCTTAAAACTTTTTAAAATATAATAAAAATAATTAAAAGTTATTATTAATTTTTAATTAAGTTGGTTTTATTTTAATAAATACCTTCACATACATATTCATTGTCATTAAAAAAATTGCAACTATCTATTTAACGAGCTTTTACATAGTATATGATAGGTACAAACATATGTTTGATTAGTGAGATGGATAGTGAGAGACTACTACGTGTTCCTATTCTGTCTTATTGACATCCCTACTTACAATAAGTCATTATGAATTCTAACTTCAAGACTTTCTTATTTAGGGTCAATGAGAATAAATTGATATAAGGTGATTTAATAGAAATAAAACCTATAAAGTAAAAGGGGAAAGAAATGTTGATTAAGATTAAAAAAAAGGAAAGAAAGAAAAACACATACACACAAAGAAAGGAGAGGAGAAGAGTGAGAAAGATGAAGAAGAAGAAACGTGTTAATAAAGGATAAAGCATAAATAAAAATTGATTAAATCACAAATGCTAAGACATAAAATTCTTACTTTTATATATATATATATATATATACATTTGAGGAAATGTGTAAACTTAAAACAAAGAATTATGTTAATTTATTTTATCGGCATAGATGAAAACTAAACTAAAAGGGTTCATACAAGAACTGAAACAAATATTTTTTTAAGTTTAGACTTAAAAGATAAAGGTTGGAAAACTACATAGGCCAAACGAATAAGCTTTTCTAAATATTTACAACTTGACCTATTAAACTAAGATGAGTTTTAAAAAGCTTGAACTTAGTTTTTTTTTTTAATTATTAATTTAAAGGAAACAAGTTAGACAAGATCTTATATTAGTTAGGTTGTAAGCCGACAGGGTGTCTTGACCTGTTTCTATTTGTCGATGAAATGAGTGATTTTTCATTTGAGAAAATATTCTTCTTATTTATTTATTTATTTTGTAAAAGGAATAAAACAAGAAATTATAATATAATATTTTGATAGCTATTTATTCATTTTGGTGGGTATCTTATATTCGGTTCTGCTCATTTTTTTTTAAATATATATTCCCCCCCCCCCCCC